TCATGTTTGTTTTGTGTTTGTTGTAAAAATAAAAAAAACATTATAAAAAAAAATAAAATAATATATGCCTCCACCTTTTGCATTTGAAGAATCAACAAACAGTGTACTTTTCTATTTTTTCTCTCTAGATTATACTGAAATTTCTGATGTATTCTTTCCAATTATTTATATGTGCATTAAAAAAAAAACCTAAAAGCAATTTCAGTCCTAAGGGCATGTGGCAGATAATTTTGGTGCTGGAAGGGCATTGCTATGTGGCTGTCATTCTTTTTCACCTTCATGTAACCTGATTCACTAATTAGCTACAACACTCCCAAATAATGCATATAGGGAATAGCTGCAGAATAAAGGAAGATGGTTGGCTTGTAGCTGCGTGTCGGTTTTGTGTTCACCTAGTTCCAGTGATCCACCTGTTCCGTTTCTCTTTTCAGGCAGACAGTTGATTGAAGGCAGTTCCCTGTATTGTTACTACTTTTCACAGTACTTTCTATGTATACAGCTTTGCAAATTCTTTAGGAGTAAAGGATATAGATAGCTACCTCCTTTGCTGTTGTGTGTGTTTGTTTTGCTTTTGTAGCTTTTCATGTATTTAGTTTTTTTGTACTATTTTTCTTTCTGTAGAACTTGTTAAAATATTTTTTAAAAATAAGGAATATGATGTCAATTAAGTCAGACTTACTTCTGAGTAATACACATTGTTCTTTAGTAGCCCTTGGAGCGTCTTGTATAGTAAATTCATTTCTGTAATTTGTTCATGTACTAAATCTTTGTACAAAAATGGAAATAACATTATCTCATAAAATATATAGGTAGTTCTTGACTTACGACCACAATAGGGATTGGAAAATTCATTGTTAAATGGTGCAGTCATTAAGTGAGGTATTGTGACCACACCTGATTTTACGACCTTTTTTGCCACAGTCATTAAGCAGATAATCTGCAGTCTTTAAGCGAGACGTGACTGCGACTTCCAGTTTCCCCACTGACTTTGCTTGTTGGGAGCCAGCTGGGAAGGTTGCAAATGGTGATCATGTGACACAGGATGCTGCAACCAATGTAAATGTGCAGCGGTTGCCAAGCACTTGAATCCCGATCACATGACCACAGGGGCTCTGCACTGGTCGTAAGTGTGAGGACTGGTCGTAAGTCACTTTCAGTTTCAATAAATACAGTTGAGGTTAGCCACTCTACAATGCTGTTTGCTTGGCTTTTGAATGCCTCCAAAGATTAAACTCCATACAAAACAGAAGAACTGGAGCTTGGTCCCTTTTGCTATATTCGTCCACCAGCAAGTACTCACATGCGCATATTCCTTGGAAAATTCTTTAGTAGGAATTATTCATATGCCAAATCCTTCCTGAAAGGTGAATGGGATATGTCACTACTTAATCTCTCTCTTGGGTTGTGTATCATCTAAAATGTACTTTGATGTTTAATTATAAACAGTTTGAAATGTAGGTGCTTGTTTTGTTCTTATTTCCATCTGGTGGTTAAGTTCAATACTGCTCTCACTTCTAAATTCAATGAACTGAAACTTGTGAGAACATACATTTCAGACTTCTTTTTCCTTTTACTTTTAGGGGGCTAGTTTTAGCTCCAATCTAATTTGATAACCAGATAATTAGAAAAATACAGGTGAAAGGAGAAGGGGGTTGCTCAGCAAAAAACAGACTATAGAGGATGACCATCTACTTCTTTTAAGAAAGATGTTAAAATCTTGACAGTACTAATTCTGTTTTTAAACTTGTTTATGTTTGTTTTAAGGGTTATGGTAAATGTCACTTTTTTTTTTTTTACAGAAGTCCTAACGATCTATACATACATCTGTTGGTTGGAAATTAATTTTATAAAACATAAATGAAATAAAAGCTGGTACTTCGAGTAACTATGCAGGAGCACTGTTGCCTCTATTCCAGAAAAAGGAATTGGATATTCCCAGGTTCAGATTAAATAACTATAATAGCAATTTGATAGGAGCCCATGAGGGATGGAAAAAAGTATCTCTCTATGAATTTCAAGTAGCAGTCATTTTATGATGCTGCTTCAAAAATATTAAGTCTGTCCTTACAAAGAATTTTAATTAACATCACTTTTTCTGTATGTTTAGGTTTCAAAAGTATTGAATTGACTCCCCTTGCTGCAATATGCGTACACATATTTTCAAGTGGGAAAGAACTGCAGGTGGAAGGCCCTATTCATATCACCTTACCTCTTCTGCCGACAAGTGATGTAAAAGCAGGAGAACCTATCTCAGCCTGGACTTTTGATATGAAAACTGGTGAGTGCTTCTTTTATGACAAGTGTGTTGGGAACTTACAACCAAATATTATTGCATATATAATGGGAAGAAAGCTTTGTTTTTGTCACCTTCCTTTAGTCGAAAAAAATTCTCATTGAGATTATACACATATACTTTCTCAGATGCAAGTCCAGCTAAATTAGGGGCCTTATTTCCGGTTTTTGAGCACAGGATTGCAGTCTACAGGTAGCCCTTGGCTTACATCCATTCATTCAGCCACCATGGTGGTGCTGAAAAAATGAACTTATGACCATTCCTCAAAGTTCTCACTGTCACAGCATCCCCGTGTTACATGATTACAATCTGGGCGCTCGGGTGCCTGACGCCGCAGCGAGCCAAATCATGTGATTGCCATCTGCGACCTTCCCTGCCGGTGTCCCACAAGCAAAGTCAGTGGGGAAGCTGGCAGGAAGGATTACAAGTTGCCCCAGTAAGTAGCTCCTGTTGTTTTTTCTCTTGAGCCCACGATGGAGTACAAGATCCTATGGATTGTCCTCTGTAGCATCCCCTGCTCGACGCAGCACCACCTTGCCTGCCTGAAGCCTCTGCCCACCCTCCCAGAGCCTCCGCCGACCTGCCTCTGCCAGTCTTCCTGTGGCCCCTACTAACCTGCCCAAGCTCCCTAGGGCCTGCCCGTGGCACTCCTCACCCCCGCAGCACCCGTACAGCCTTACCTGGGACTCCTGCTCCTTACCTGAGATTCCTGCCTCTTCCCGCTTAACAACCTGCACATCTTGGGGTTACAATGGCAACTGGGACTGCCAGGATTGCCATCACTAAGTGATGTGGTCACATGATGTTGCACTTTATGACCCATTGCTTAGCAGCAGCAATCCCGGTCCCAATTGCCGTCATAACCTAAGGACTATGTACGTGTATGTGCATTCTTTGAAAACCTGCATAAGGTCTAAGGTGGAACTGTTTTAATAATGGATGTTTAGTTGTTTTGAGGCATAACCTGGAATATTAGGTGTTAGAGCAATATTTCATTATTTTTAGAAAGACAATGCTGGACTAGATGGGTCTGTCTCTAATCCATTCATTATGAGTACATCAGAGTTCTCTAAAGTTTTTGATTCAGCAGTTTTTAGTTGAAAGTCTGAAAGAAAGTATCTCATTTTTTTCTTACCAGGTGCTTGGATTAATCGTGGCTTGGGAATAGTAAAGAACATGGATGATCACCTAGTATGGACATATACTGCTCCAAGTCTGGGATATTGGATAGCAGCCCCATTGCCCGGAACTAGAGGTATACTGGGGAAACTGAAATTATCTTATATGTGTTTTAGTTTTTATTACTTTCATTACATTCATGATAATCTTTACATATAGTTAGAAGTCAGAACACAAGACACAGAATACTAACTCTTCCCAAATTTAATTGGGATGAGGAGATTTGCCTTTTATTTGCCTTGAAGGTGGAGTTTCTTTAGGTTTATAAAATATGATCCTATGTCATAATAAAATGGGGTCTTGTAATATTCCAGATGTTGCTGCAGTAAGTGTGCAATTGGGTGTGCAGGACATGCAGAGATTTATATTAGTAAACAGCCAGTACTTATATGGCAATTGAGTTCCTGACAAGACTCTAGGAAAGAGTTCCTAGAATGGGGGAATATCCTATTTGCACTACATATTGTACAGTCTAATGTACAAGAGGGTTAGGGGCATTAGCCTCACTCCCATATCTATAATGTACTCAGGCTGGATACTAAGTTTTGCTTGAACATGAATTCAAACTCTCAGGAGGAAGAACAAGCGCATATGCATACAGTATGGCTTACTTGTGTTAGTGATATCATCCAGACCTATGTATCTTACTAGTATTAATGTGCTGTATATACAGGTGGTCCTCGGGTTATGACCACTCATTCAGCAACTGTTCAAAATTACAACAGCACTGCATGAGAGTGACTTACAACCAGTCCTCAGAGTTCCGGCCATCACTGTGTTCCCACTGTCATGTGATTGCGATCCGGGCACCCAATGCCTGGCCCACGATTATGACATTGCAGCAAAGTCAATGGAGAAGCCAGCAGGTCGCAAATCACTCCTGCTCCCACCATTTTTTCACCTACCCATGCTCCATAGTGTCTGCTCAATGGCATTCCCACCCCCTGCAGCACCCACACACCCACCCACACTCTGTAGCACCTGTTTGTGGCATCTCCATGGTACCCGCATATCTGCCTGCACTCTGTAGCTCCTGCCCAAGGCACTCGTCCACATGCAGCACCCAGGAACCCTCTGTGCTCTGTAGTGCCTGCCCATGACACCCCTGCAGTACCTGCACACCTGCCTGTGCTCCGTAATGCCTGCCCACGGCAGTTCCCTGCCCACCCATACATCTCACCCACTGGCCTGCTTGCCTGGGACTCCACCCCTTCTCACTTAACGACCTGCACAGTCCTGGGGTTATGATGGCAGCTGGGACTGCTGGTGTTGTCACTAAGCAATGCAGTCACGTGACATGATGCTTTACAACCACATCCCTTAGCAACAAAAATTCTGGTCCCAATTGCTGTTGTAACCCAAGGACTACCAGTAGGCATACTGCTTGAATGATTTTGACTGAGGTAGAACCCCCATCAATACTGTCTCAAACTTGATAGCAGAATGAAACTGATGTCAGGTCCTCTTGCATACCGATAAACTGCTTCTGTGACAAATAAATTGTGGACCTTATGCTCCCTGATGTGAACCTCTCTATTCCATTTTTGCTGGCTTGCAACCATGTCTCCTTGTTTACTGAAAGATCCAGTGTTAAAATGTAAAGGAAGAACACAGTAAGGAAAGATAGAACTGTTTAATCTGTGCTAGTATAAAAAAGGTAACTTTTATTATCCTCTCTCCATCTCTCTGCATCTTCTTTATGTCATTAAAAACATGGATTCTATCATTACAACAGTTACTAAAGATATCACTGCCTACCACACAGTATTCCTCACAGCCATATTAGGAGGCACAATCACCATCATTGTTGGGTTCTTTGCAGTTCTGCTTTGCTATTGCAGGTAAGAGGGAAGATGATGGTAATGCACTTTTGGCACAACCAACTACAGTGTGCACTGTTTGAAAGCACAGAATTGTTCAGGTTGATTCTGCTTTTGAAAGATAATTGAGCTACAATCTATGCCCACTTTCTGTGCTTAAAGGAAATGCTCATTTGTTCTAGACGTTCTGTAATGCTCTTGTAATACTCTGTAATACTCTGGTTTTAATACTCTGTAATACTCTGTTTTCAAATCTAAGGAATCTTGTTGAATGTATAGTTAAAAAATATGTAGATGTAGTGGTGCCAAACTACTGTAGTTCAAAGATATATAGGTATATATATTATAATTTGGTACAATCCAAAATTAAGTGGATTGATAGACTGTGTTTTCTTCCTTGGAAGAAAGATAAGCTTATAAATTTTATAAACAAATAAATAAAAAAGCCTGGTGGGGTCAGACTAGTCATAACTGCAGCTGATATACAAAGCATAACTAAAATATTTTTCATTTTGTTTCTTCTTTTAGGGATAAGTGTGGTCATCCAAAAAAGAGAAAGAAAAGCCCAACTAAACTAGACATTTTAAAAAAGGACCAAACAACTTCAACAACTCACATAAATCATATTGGTGCCGCCAAAGGATCGTTGAAATCCGAGGACAAATCTAGGTTGTATTCACCCAGAGTAGCCTCTTATAGCCCCCAGAGGCGGGTTTCAGCCGAAGGTGAGGAGAGGCAAGTCCAAGACAGTTTTAAAGTTTACACAGAAGGTACTTCATACCAATTCCCTGGTAAAAATACCCAGTGTCGGAGCTCACCCCAGTCCTTGGAAACTAACACAGGACTGAGACATCTACCGCCAGTTAAACATCTCAATGGAAGTATTTCCCCATCTCAAAACGCACAAGAACAGGATCAGTATCTCCCAATGTCTGAGGAAATATACGGGCTGTCTTCCCTCCCAGAACAATTAATGCATTTCTATAGTCAGCCCGGTGCTATGCTTCAGACATCTGAGCTTTTTCATGCCCAAGAGCAATTGCATGCTGCAAAGTCAGCTACTTTACCAAGAAAAGGACAGTTAATCTATAGCCCTGTGATGGAGCCTATGAGTCATGAAAATTATACCCAGACGTTGCCCAAAATGCCAGTGCACTCTCACCTGCAGGCACCAACTTCCAGAGATGAAACAGCTGCTATAGATAGGCAACAGGGCTTGTCTCCTCAAGCTGCCAACTGGGGCCGCTACACTAGTAGCTTGCTAGAGTCGGTTTCTGTCCCAGGAACACTAAATGAAGCTGTAGTGATGACACCATTTTCATCAGAACTTCAGGGCATTTCAGAGCAAACCTTACTGGAGCTTTCAAAAGGGAAACAGTCTCCACATCCAAGAGCGTGGTTTGTGTCATTGGATGGCAAACCAATAGCTCAAGTGAGGCATTCATTCATTGATCTCAAGAAGGGCAGGAAGACTGAGAGCAATGATACTAGCTTAGACTCTGGTGTGGACATGAATGAGCACAATCCAAGTCGAAAATTGGAGAGGGAGAAAACCTTCATTAAAAGCATGCAACATTCTAAGATACTTTACCTAGAAGACTTGGATCTGAGTAGCAGTGAATGCGGGACCAGGGTTTCTACCCCTGAAGATCAAGCTGTGAAGTATATACCAGATGGAGGTAATGACCCCATCATAGAGCAAGAGCTCATAGAAGAGGTGCCTAAAAGAAAAAACATGGCAAAAAATCACGAGGCCAGCCCTCCCACAGTGAAGAAACAGGGAAGACCACGTCTAACTAAGAGAGAAGGCAAAACAAACATCTGGAAGAAGAGAGAGGAGAGGCCACTCATTCCAATAAATTAAGATTACGGTGATGTCTTATCTTCTGGTTGTTTTGTGTCCTGTAGACTTTACCTCCTGTCATTCTTACTTGTAAATTTGCACTGGTCATTTTCAGTGGGGCAGTCAGATTTAGGTGACTCCTTTTTTAAGGCACAGAGCAAATGATCCCTTCATAAGGAGTATTGTTTTTTGAAAACCAGCTCATCTTGCTTTCAGCAGTTAAAATTTCAGGATTTTTGTAAAACTATACATGCAAAATTATTCTGTGGTGCGCCTGTAAAGACACATATACATTCTGTGGAAGAAACCAGTATGGAATCTTGTTTACCTGCTCTGAAATTGGACATCTAGCAAGGAAGAAGTTCTGTTGATACCAGATTGTGTTGGCACAGGAAAAGAGCAAAACATAGATAACAAGTGCTTGTTATGTTTGCAACTAGTGTCCGATAATGGACATGGTCATAATATGATGATGGTATCATATTGTGTAGTATGGTATTTTTCATCTAAATGCTGATCTGAAATCTTGTATTTCGTATCTCATATAACATCCTGCCTCACTATAATTCCTATATAGCTTTTTATGGTGGGGGAGGGAAAATTAGGGATCTCTTATCCAGAAGGTATTTCAAGTGTGCAGACTTCTACCATTCCAATTTGTATTGAGCCAAATTGTGCTCCATTTTTAGGATAGCTGGATTTATATTAATGTAATTAAGGCAGAGTTTGGCCCTTTTATGCCCACAATGTGTGCCATTGTAAACATGGCCAAAAAGATGCCTTTGTAGATGTTTCCACCAGAAACAGCATCCTGTACTAGCCTTAAAGAGACAAAAGAAATATGGTATTAAGCAATTTGATAATGTGCCTCCCTTTTTTGCTAGCTTTGACGTAAGTCTTAAAAGTCAATTGTTGCTTATGAATAGTTCCAGTTGAATTCTGTTAAGACTTAAATTTAGCCACATTTACATTTTTTTTAATGAAAAAATTGGGATGGTGGGACCTCTTCATTATACCCTAATTTTCTAATCTGGGCGCAAATCTGTAAGATAGGCAAAATAAGGGAAAGGCCATAGTTTAATACTATGCAAATAGGAAGAATTTGGAAAGTTCACTGGGGAATGATGCCAATTTGTATAGATAAGCCTTTCTCAATGAAACATCTATGGATTTTGGAGTCAACATGGAGACCTGTGGAATAAACATATTACAGCCCTAAATATAGTTACTTGGAAATAGATTCTGTTGATTTCAGTGGAACTTGTTTCACGTGAAAGTATCCACAGTTAAAAACTAAAAATGCATACGTCTCCACCTGAAATTAGAAGCCAACCTATTATTTTCCCCTGCACAACTTTCACCATCACCATTTCAGTGGAGATGACAATTAGGATGTTAATAAGTTTGTACTGTATTTTAATCTTCCCTAAATTTGTTTTAACACAAAATGGTATCATGGAAACGCTCACCCATTACATTTGATGTGTTCTAAAGTAGTTTTAAGTAGAAAAATTGGTGTAGAAAATGGGAGGTGAACACATTTTGGGATAGTACAAGGACTTAACAAATAGGCATTTAGGGTGGCCAAATGCTAAATGGCATCAGCCATTTCTGCAAATAGGGCAAAAGTAGAATTCATTTCTTCTAACCTCATGCCTGAAAATTGTACATTGTCTCTTTATACCAAACATGGCAAGTGTACTTTATCAGCTGACTTACCATTCACTATAAGTACTAAACATGTGTCCTAACTGGATTGTGCACTATGAACATGTTCAGGGACTATCTGTTGGCACCTCTGTATACATTGAACGTAAACTGGATTTGGCCTGTAAGACAAAAGCCATCCTTAGGAGTAGAATTCATTGTAGAGTTAAAATAGTTACCAGAAGAACTGATTGCATGAAATGTAATAGGAGGAACTATATAGAGGGAAGAAATGTTGATAAAGGCATTACCTCTTTATGTTTTTTGAATAGTAAATTTGTTATTGATCATTCATTTTTGGCTAAGAGAAAAGTAGATATCCGAAAATGAATTATCTTGCTACAGAATCGTGTTAAACTTATGCAAACTAGAGGTTTTTCATATGCCCTTTCCCATCTGTCATCTCATAATCATTTGAGGACTGGCTTATTTTTATTGGATTAAGGCTGTAGCCTTTGAAATCATGGTTCAAGTGTTAGCCACCCTACTTTTTCAGTTCAAAACACATTTGTCTCATTCATATTGAAATAAATACAAAATTAGGACCCTGGGAGCTATGTTTATGATGGATAGGTGACACAGAAAGCATGCTCCAATTTGTGGCAAGGCAGTACTCTTCCAGAATGCAAACAGAAAATATCCTACCTTGCTAAATATCTAACATTAAATATCAGAAAGTTTAGATTTATAAATGGACAGAGAATTATCTAGGATCAGAAATATTCTCACAACATTTTTGAGTTATCTTTTCAATGCTTTCATAGGGCTCTTTTCTGTTTGTTAGATAATACAGAGAAATGAATTACATAAGTAATAATAAGGCTTTCATAAATTTGATACTTCAGGTGGGAGGAAAGTAACAATCAAAATCAAAAGATTTGCCAGAACAAAAAATGGAATAATTCTGAACAATACAACTTGTATTGAAAGGTTATAGTCTAGAACTGCACAACCACCTAAGTTTTGGATTTGCTTTTAAGAACAAAAAAAAAACCCATCATTGTCATGTGGGAAAAAAATGGAACTTCAGAAGGCACAATGATACGGAAATGATGATCTTAAGTAAAATATTCTAGTGGGCTTATCTCAAATGATAAGATTTGAATCTCTACTTATTTGCAGGCCATTGTGAATGAACCGATGGCAGGGAGAGAAACATGGAAAGACCTCTTGAGGATTTTGGTTACTTTTACTGGATTAGTGTAATAATGCATACTTTGTAGTCTGCAGTAGTGGGTTTAAATTTTCATGGAAATATATATGTGCTTACAGAACGTATCTTAGACTAAATGGCATTCTCTTTGGTTAGGAGATAAATGGGGCCAATACTAATTGGCTGCATAGAGATGAGAAACTCATAACTTGTTACCCTGTTTTTGCATTGTATCCTACAATATTAGTATATCCAAAGGCTTTTTTTGAAATAGAGTTTACATTTTACATTCAAATTTTTTACTGTCTTATCCTCTGCAGCTTGGTGGTACAGACCAGGAAAATCTTTACCTCCTTAATTGTTGACTACATTATTGGTTCTTACCAGAGTGTGTGTGAAAGAGTAAGATAAATATTTCAAATTTAATCTAAGCACAAATGTCTCCCTGGGTATGTGGGGGATATATTCATGACCTAAAGGTATATTCAAATTATTTCTGGAAGTCAGTTTCAGAAAATAAGTGCTTTTCCCTTCATATGTGACACATGCATCCAAGTAGCACCAGACATTCTAAACATTTTGGAATATTAAATACTTTTCAGGCAAAAATGTTTTTTGCTGTTTTATATTTTAACAGCACTGATAGAATTATGGCTCGTAAACTTTGATGGTATTCCTCCCCTTATTGCCTAATCAGCATTTCTGAAGTATTTGATGGTTTTAGCATTTTGAAATTTTGTATCAAATAAGTTTTATTGGCTGAAATTTAAGCAAATTTTGAAGCTAACAAAAGAATTGTCAAATAATTGTACATTTCCCAATTGTGATACACTATTCTTCAACTTAACTTTAAGATATACTGGTGTATAGTTCTTCAGCATATATAGAATCTTTGTGGGTTTTTAAAAAAGTATTTCTATGTCATACCAGTTCAGTTTGGAAGTTTTACTGTATTGCATGCATGTTAACAGAGCAGTTCTATGCATGCTTATTCAGAAGGAAGTTCTTGATAGTTCAGTTGAACTTGCTGCTAAATAAGTAAATATACATATGATTACAGTCTTAAAAGTATGGTTTGTATCAGAAATCCAATTTTGTGAGCTGCAATGGCTGGAACAGAATCTGGAAGTAGACATAGAAAGTTACCACTGAAATCAACCCTTCACGACATCTATTATTAAAAGTTAGGAGATTCTCCGCTAATAGAGGAATTGTTGAATATTCAGCAACTCCAACCCCATATGATATAGAGTGATGTTATTTAGGTAATTTTAGACTCTGGATTTACAAAATTGGCAATTAAGATTGCAAAATCACTGCCAGGATGAAATCTGCTCCTCTGTCAGTATCATTCAGTTATTAATGCAGTTATTTTTACCCACCAGTAAGAGCACATCGCCCATTTTCCAGTGTTGCTGTGTAGGAGACTAGCCTGAGACTTTCTCACACACATGCCCTGCAACTATTACACTGCTGTAGTGCTGTGTGTTAAGGGAGAGAAGAAATAGATGGCTTCTTTCAAAATGAAGCTCACATTACTAATTAAGACTAGTCACTGAATCATGTAAAGGTTGAAGGTGCCTTGCAGATAATTTAGTCCAACTCCTGCCCACTGCAGAAATTGGAGCCCGGCTCTTACCAAGATATTAGCTATTAGTTACTAGATTTAAGTTGTAAATAATGAGAATAAGGACTCCTTTCCCATGGCATATTTTAAAATTGTTTTATGGTATACTAGTGCTATTCCTTTTCATTTTATTTTTACATGTTTCTGTTCTTCCAGGAGTAGCCGTTCACGCCTGTGCAACTACTGCAGTTCTAGTGGATTGTTATAATGTATAAACTATATAAAACTATAAGACACTGCTAAGTCTAATTAAAAAATTAATCTTACCAATAGCTTTGTGATTCTTGATTGTTTTAAAAAGCAAATTGGTTGTCACATCTCATGGAGTATGACTTAAGGCCATTCATCACATGGCTGTACAGGTGAATACTAGTATCAGGGACTCTTGAAAGGAGCAGCATGCAGAAATTGTTACATGCCATGCTTCAAGAATTGAGTTAGGCAACATTGGATTATATCTGGAGGTGCTGCTGCTTCAGAATGACATGCCTGGAAATAAAGAATGATCTAAATTTAAAGGGTTGAAACAGACTTGACAGCCATGCATGGTCAACCCATTATATTGAGAGTTGGAAGTCTACCCATTGTTGATCTAGGTGGATGTTCTAATTACAATTTTGGTTAGAAGGCCAACTCATGCATGAAATGGGACAAATGAATGACAGGTATGACATTATTTTGTCCCAAGTTCTATCATTGTTTAAGGACATCGTGGTGACTTTGCTATTCTGTTTGTATGTTGTACACCCTATACATATACAGGTCTTTTCTCTATAAAAGAAAACATCTCTCTGAATATGGCATACAGTTCTTAAACATGCATGATAGCTCTTGGATTACTGTGTCACTTCAAAACCTACATTCTGCTTTTCATCCACATTCTGAGTTTTCCTTAAAACCATCCCAAGTGTTAAATTTAGTAATGACAGCATTTGAGCAATCCAGAAATATGTATAGTCATTCCTCAACATAATGAATCTGAAACAAACAACAGGATTAGGTACTATACACTCAACACTGGAATATGATAAAGGAACAACAATGGTGGCTTTTCAGTGAACTGGGAAAATATTCTTCCCCAGGAATTCCAATCAGGTTTCTACATTAATATAGGGATGTTTATATTTCTGTGTACCAGATTTCTGTATTTTTAATACAACAGTATGACTGGCAGTTTTGTAAAACATTTGTTCCACAACTTGTTCGAAGTTTGTAGACCACTGAAATCTTACATCCAAATTGTTTGGTTTATATTTTGCTATACTTGCTATTTACTGTTCATATTATAAAAGCAATGTTTCCTATTACATTTATGTGCTGGTTCATACTAGGGCTACCATTCATGTTTAAATAAAACATTCTTTATTACAATGCCATTACAAGAGCAATTTATCTCTCTGTAGGAGATTCCACTTCTATCAGCAAGGAAGAGTAATGTTTTTATTAGCCATCTCTTTATCTCTCAAAGGGCATAAACATTTGAAGATCCAAATAAGATTTAGTATAACCTTGTTTCAGATTTATATTGACTTATAACTGAGTTGAAGCAATAAAACAGCTACTAGATACAGTAAGAAAAATATTTCCACAAAAATATTTAGTTACAGTTTGAGCTGAAATTAGAGTTTAAATAACTTAGCTTTTTATTAATATTTTTGTTAAGCAAATGCAGGTTTTTATGGTAAGTTCTGCAGCTTTTTCAGATGTTCATCCATAGTAGAATTCTTCTTTATTCCCAATTTATTACAATTTATTCCTCAGTTCATGAATCATGTTAAGAATGCACTGAAGAAGCAGAATCAGGGCAAGCAGTTGAATGTCAAATGGTTGTGCCCTCATCATTTTACACATTAGTAAAAGTACTTCATATATTTAGACTTAAGAATTTGAATTTACTGGAGCCAAAAAACTTGTTTTTTTTTTAATGCCGATAAACATACTATTTTATGTAAACATTTTTCTGAATATCAAACCAAGTAAAAATGACTTTCACAAGTTTTTAAAATTTCTTAACATTTAAATAATAGCTAAAGCATCTGGATCCTTTGTATATCCAAATAATAGAATCTACTTAAAAAAGGTACAGCATTGCAATTTTAATCTGCCTTTCCATTTGTGCATAATCTTGAAGCAGTACCAACTACTTTATAGGTAAATTTATCAGCATGAGCTTTGGGAACAAGGACTAAACCCTTTATATGTCTAGAAAATTTCAAATTTCTTGGTTTCTGAGTGCTAAGCAAGCTAGGGCCAGAATCTCTGGTGCAAGGGTAGCTGAAACCATTCAGTGTTAAATTCTGCTCAGTCTCTGCAGAACTTTTCTTCTTGTTACAGTCTCCTTGAAAACCACCTTGAGATGCCTCCATGACATGGTGAGGCTTCATTTGCTTGGCAGACAATCCAGTACCTGGTATACAAAGCTCCAGCTCAGGCTGCTTTGCAAGAAGGCTCTTTGCTTGAGACCCTAATTGATTTACTTTGTCTTTGCTTGGTGCAGTCTCCCAAGTTAATGGATTATATACAACTTGGCCATCAATAGGGCATGCGTTTTCTTTCTGCAACCAACGGTCAATGCATTTTCTATGGAACTAAATAAAATACATAATGTATTAAGCCTTGGTAATTTTCCACCAACATTATTCATTTAACTTGCATGAATCAATCATCATCAAATGGATACATGTATTACAAATTATCTCTAAAGAGGACAGATTCACTTACCTCTGTCTCAGAAACATTAGGGCCAAGTGCACTAATTTATTGTAAGGAATAGATCAGCTCAAATAGGATAGACTTATAAATCAATACCTTTGAACAACCATGCAGTTCTTAAGACAAATTGCATGACTGAAGAGACATTTCTGATGTCTGCTAACATCCATATGATCTCTTGTGTCATGCAATTTAAGAGAACTGTTAATTAAGGTTTATTAGAATTGCTAGGAAACTACAGAAGTTGCTGACTTGCTTCTTTTGAAGCAATATAAGTTCTTTTATGTATTCAAAAGCTCAAAATGCTCACCTCAAAATGAGCTCAGGTTACTAAAGGATACTAAGAATGATAAAAAGAGCTTATTTAGAAGGCTTCAAAATAAAATAATTGGTATAGCAGTTGCTCAGTGAAGGTAATGTTACTTAACTTACTTCATAGATTGTAGGAATGCTGCAGATACAGTGTGTCTTTGATTCAGCAAAATGCTTCATAAAGTATTCCAAAAAGCTAGTTAAATGTGGGTTGAGTGGCATGGCAAGGGCACAAAGCTGGTATAAAAACCATACTTTAAAAAGTACTCATCTATGCTTCCTCATCTCAACTGGAGAGAGTTACTAAACAGGGTGCAACACAAATCCATTCTGAGTCATCCACTCTTGAGAAAAGATAACTGAGACAGGATATAGCCACATTCCACAAATATCTGAAAGAAGCTATTTTCTCTTACTCCTGATTGCAGGACACGAGATACTGGATTTAAGTTAGAGGGAGGCAGACTGTGACAATGTTAGAAAATATTTCCTAAGAGGAACCAGTCACTTCGGAAGGGCTCCCATTCACTGGATGTGTTCAAGCAGAGGCTAGATTGCCATCTGTCTGGGATGCTTGGATTTGGATTACTGCAAAGCATATGATTGGATTTGAGGATCTAAATGGCTTCTTCCAACTCTAAAAATATCTGAGAATAGAAAAGAATAACTGAAAAAATAGTAGCAAATCTTGGTCATGTTAAGGGTAGCCACACAGACATAGGCAAGTTTATAATGAATTCTGGGAAAGTGAATTAACAGCTGAATTTACCCCAAAGGATGATACTTATTTATTTGATTTATATGGTCTCCCATCTCACGAATGCAACTCTGGGCGGCTAGCAACATGCTTAAAACTGTTTTGAAAAAGGAAAAATGAAAAAGAATATTAAAGTGTAAAAATTTACAGTGGTCACAAAGGGTGAACCCAGAAAAAACAATCAGTAAAAACCTCTCAACAGGCCATTAACCTCCCAACCCCACGCTTGGAGCACATCCAGGTCTTCAACACTTTATGAAAGGCTGGCAGGATTGGGGATATGGTGGGCAGGTGCTGTGACAGAAAAGGCATGCTTCCAAGGCCCCATTAGATGGCGTTCTTTAACAGAGGGGACCTGGAGTGTGCCTGATCTGTCAGATCTAGTGGGATGGGTAGACAGCTTCCCTATCTTGTCAACTTAAGAGTTGCCAGAGGCAGTGAAACTAAGCTGGAGCTACCCCACTCTATAAATGTGCAGATGCGATATGCTTACATGCATCGGTGCCTTTTGTATGCTTATACTTGCCAGAAGCCCCTCCCCTCTCCCCAAAGAGCACAGGTAGGACAAAATAAGCATATATTAAATGAATTAAAAATTTAAAATGCCTGTAAAATAAGGCATCCTATTTACAAATTTAATTGAGCCTCATTTACATATTCCAACCATTTTCTCTCTCTCATAAAACACTCTCCTACATAAAATATACAAGTATACCAATACGTATTTCCCTTCCTCCTCATAACCAAAGCTGCAGGAAAAACAACAGGAAGATGGTAATGGGAAACGGGAAAAGGTACTTGTACTGAGAAAGGAAGAAAGGAAAGAGAAAGGAGGGAAGAAAACTGGATAGAAGTGAACCTAGCACAAGAAGTAACAATACAGGAGAAAGAGAAGCTCAATTAAGCATTGCAAAAGAATAAAGCTCATTAAAGAAACAACCCTTCCAAAGCAACAGCTACTATTCAGGCTAATCTTCAAAAACATCCAGCTTTGTACAGCTGTATCTGCAGACACTTATGATTATTATTCATACCTGGCCTAGAGGGGCATATGGGACCCTCTGTTTTATGCCCACAGCTGCTCTGTGAAGTAGGTTGGGTTAAGAGTGTGACTGTCCCAAACTCATCCAGTAAATTTCCATGGTTGAGGGTGGACTTGAACCACCCTCAGCCATGCACTGCACAGTCTAATTTTCTTACATTTTTTTTAATGAAGAAACTTGATTTAGTAAAACCCAATGTAGTTGTGACAATACAATATCTTAATTAACATTGAAGGAATGTTTTAGAAACTATAAGTATGATCTGATTGTGAACAAGGCACTGTTTTATCATGAAGCAGCTTCATATTCTGGGGTGGCTGTGGGGGCTATTTCTAAAAATCAAGGGAATTGTGGTAGATAGGACTCCTGACTCTTCACCACCAAAGGTTGTAACAGAATTTCTTGACTTCACAAATAAGTGTTCCAGATGCAACACTCTGCTTGCTTAGTTTACAGAGACTACTTGAATGCAAACCAATAACTAAAAAGGTATGTCACAGCAGCAGGCAGTCTTTAGTTTATATTACATGTGCATTAAGTAACTTCGTTTTTCATGACTGTTTGAAAAGTCTTGCATCAGAAACAAAATTGGGTTTGAGAAAAACAACTAAATGCCTGCTCAAACATATCTTCAGTTTACCTTGTGATTACATGGTAAGGCTCTTGCCACTTGACCAAGGCAGAATATCTTCAAACAGAGTCTACACTGTAAACCTGGATCAAGTAAGGGGCTGCACTTCCTAACCACCATATTTGGTATTGAGTTCAATACTTGCTCTGGTATGCGGCTGAATCTGAAAGACATGTAACAGAATAGCTATCCCATATCAGTTTACACATCCACGTGGTTTTAAAATCTTATTTCAAAGAAATAACACAAGCAATGTTGATGTAATTAGAAAAAATTGAAGTCACAAGATGAAAGTTTTCTAATGGATTTCGTATAAATACCACAAACTTATATATGACAAAAAGTTACTAATAACGTCAGTAATAACACAGGGATGTTCATTTCACTGGAACTATGGCAACCCACTGAATATAAATGACAATTCTTTATAAATACCACAAAATATTAAAATAAAAAGGTATTAAGAGATGTGTAATTAGTATCACTGCTTCCTTAAATCATACTTCTGGTTCCCCTTCTCAAGTTAATTTCTTTTAGTTAAAAAAAACATCAAAATGAATTTCATTATATTTTTCATCTTACTGTTCCTTGTTTTTTTCTTCTTTAAATTTCTCTTCTGGATTAATGCTCTTCAGGTTTTCTTCTGATGTTGACAGTTGAACTTTTAGTTCAACTGATTTCCACCTCTGATTCCTTTTCTAAAGTAGAGACATAAAGTAAAGAAATTAAGCAATAGCACATATTGCTTAAAGAGAATTATCAGCATTTATCATTTCAGTAAAATTGATAGCAGAAAAATGAATTCACCTTACATCAAAAACAAAAGAAAAAACAAGGTGGTAAACTTGAAAATGAAAGGTGATTAAATGCTAATTTCCTCACATCCCTGCTATACATTTTGCTTAGAAGGAAAGAGAAGAAGAGGACAACCAGCAGCGAGATGGATGGACTCAGCTACAATGGTGATGGGGGCACTGTTGAAAGACCCAAAGGGCCAGGTTGGGGACAGTTCATATTGGAGAAGGTTTATCTATGTGGTGGCTAAGAGCTGACACCAACTTGATGGCACATGCTAACAGTTAGTAAGTAGAACACTGACTCTGAAAAAGAAACAGTACAAGTAGGATGGCAGAATCCAGTGTATAAATAATTCTGATTCATGATTGGTATTGGCAAGTTACAAACTTCACTTGGACTCTGAAGTCTGGATCTATTTGGGTCTCAGTATTCCTGATAGAAGATTTGCAACAGTATTACATTAACCTTAGAAAATATACATGAGCAAATAAAACTGCACCTGGGCATACTAAGACTATCAGTATTATAGGCAGGTCAAACAAGAGGGAAAACCCCCCCAAACAAAACAGAAAATAAATTCTACAAAGCTTTCTTCAACTAAAGCCTTCAGGATGGAAAGCCAGCTACTTTTTGAAATATCTTTACACATTTTTGAACTAGGTCAAACAGCTACTTGTACAGAGTTGACCTTTGAATTTTAGTCTTATGAATCCTTAGGATGATATTCTGGGATCCATATGATGTTTTAAGTTCTTCTTGAGAAGCCTGCCCAAGAAGGAGAGATCAAACATAGATACCCCCTTCCTCCTCAGTTGTTACTTCTGGAGGAAGGGGATGGGGGGGGGCATTTACTAAGCATGACTGGAGAGGCTGCATTTCTACACAACTAACACTTTGCATTTCCCAGAGAACTGTAGAAAGCTACACCAACTGCCACAATTTATTTCCTCCCATTTTAGAGAGAAAGAAGCAGGTCAATGGAGAAAGATAATTGTGGAAACTGTGTTTTTAAAAAGCTACACTTCATCCCTACTGTGTTCTTTCAGAGGGCTACGGTTTCTTCAGAGGCTATGAATTCTCCACAACCAGTGGTAGGGTGCTCTACTCAAGATTTGGGAAGGGTTGTACTGCCAAAGAGATATATAAAATACATTGAATTAGGTCAGTGGGTCACCTGTTAAGTTAAAAGCATCACAACTATTAACCAAGGTCTTGGCTGAAAAGAAAACTAATATACAGCACAGAAAAGGAAAACAACTAAAAGAAGAAAGCTTCAAGTTAACCTTGCTTGCTGTAGCACCTCACATGCACATAAACTCAAATATAAACACTCCTAGCAAAGTGAAGCCTATCGAATTGAAAAAAAACGCTTAGGGTTTCATCTTTACTTTGGCCATTGGACTACAGAATATATTCATCACCGTTTAAAAATAAGAGAAAATAAGATCAGCAAACCATTTTTTGATACAAGTGATTTACAGACAAGACATACCTGATAAGAAGAGTTAAGTTTCCTTCACTAATGTTGGCTTTTTAAACTGTTGCATTAGGTGTTTTTTTTTTTAAAGGGAGGGAATTTATACTATACCTCTCGGAAAGCAAAAGAATGTGAAGGATGACAAAAGCTTCTAAAGCATCCATGGCATAGGTGGTATTCGCTACATTCAGTACACCTTGAAATAATGTTAACATTAATAATGATCAGCCTTTATACAAATCTTGCTTAGAACTCTATTGTTCGATTTAAAGAAATGTACTACTTTAAAATAAAACAGACCAACAAGCTAAAACTTCAGGTTAATGTGGGAGAGGGAATGTGCAGAGGGAGCAAGGGAGAGGGAAGTGAAGAAACCCGCCTCATGGCATCATGACACAAATCTCATGACTTCTGTACTTGTGTCAAATATCAGAACACAACTACAGCAGGGCATCATCAGCCTCATTTTTTCCTAACTGTGGCTCACTGTGGACACCTATGGAAGGACCTGACTAAGTGTAATACCTCATACAATCTTGCATCACGTACTGAAATAGTACAATACCCTCAGTAGTTTTTCATGCTCTTGGATGCTATCATAAATTTTCTTCAGATGAAAGGAGGAAAGCTGAGAAAAACACACTCTCAGACAGACACTAGGTGGAGCAATAGTCCTTTTTCCTTCCAGTTTAAGTGGTACTCTTGATTCATTGAGGGAAAATACTGTTTGATATACAGTATGCTGTTGTATGAATATATAATTAACTTTTAAAATTAACTATACAGGTAAATATGTTTATGTTAAATATTTTTAAAGGAACTCTAATAATTTCCTATTATAGATCTTTTGAAAAGTGGTTACAAATGTCACATTAGGTTTTAACAGCTCCTAACGGAAATCTCATCTGGCCAACTATATAAATCAAGTTATTAACATGAATAAGATTTGAGGCCTATGATTCAAGATATATAGTCACAGATAAATTAGAGATTTGTTACATCTTTTTACTAGGGAGCTAGTCCCACTGGAAGCCACAGAGCTTACTCACTAGGCAGTGAGTTTAGGATTTTCACCAAGAAACTTTTCATGAAGAAATTCTGAAGTGTGGCATTATCTACATATATAAACTTAGAAGAAAATTTAAGCCAATAATTGACATATGGCTGCAGATAATAATCTCAAAGGTTTAATCTTTGATTCCTCGTAGAAAAAAAAGGTTTAAAATACCACAAATAAATTGGCTCAGGTATAACCAGCTAAATGCCTTAAATGCTTACTTGTAGCAATTTCCCTCGATGGGTAGTACTCTGCAATTATTGCAAGGGATTCCAAGGTGTTTGTCAAGGCTCTGTTTTTCTGCTATAGTCACAAGTCTTTTGCAGTTTCTGAATTCTTCCAAGATAAGCTTCAGTGGTGCAAAATTTTCCCTACACAGAGGGCACTTCACTAAAGAATCTTTCTCTAACTCTCGCTGATGATCAATCCAGATTTTCATACACACTATATGTACGTTGTTGCCACAACCAAACCTGTAGATAAGGAGAAATAATTTTCTTAATTAAATTATTTTTTGAAATATTTAAATAAATTTAATAATTATTTTTAATAAATTAAAATTGCACTGTAATTAAATTATTTTTCATTTGTTATCAATGGAAATTCACGCATCGTTATTTATGAGAAATTGTTACAAAAACATTTTATTTTAAATTTTAAAGCCATTTATTAAGGAAATATTATTTATGTAT